CTTCTTTTAGCTTAACTCTATCATATTCTATTTGGAACTTAATATTTCTGTGCTTTAAAGGGCAGGTAGTGTCACTTTATAAACTCCCTCTACTCTATTCTTGGGTCTCAGTTGAAATGTCATTTCCCCAGAGAGGCTTTTTCCAGTCACTTAATGTGAAACACATGCCTTGTTGTTTTCTATTTTGGTGTTTCCTTCACAGCCCTTGTAACAATTTATTATTCTTTTTCCTATGCCAGTACTGGGATTTGAACATAGGGCCTGGGCATTGTTTCTTAGCTTTACTGCTCAACTCTGGCGCTCTACCACATGAGCCACAGCTCTACTTCCTGCTACTTGGTGATTCATTGGCGATAAGAGTCAGCATGGACTTTCCTCCTCAGGCTGGCTTTGAACTGCAATCCTCAAATCTCAGTTTCCTGAGTAGCTAGGATTACAAGACTGAGCTACTGGCACCTATCCCTTTTCACAATTTTTTTTTTGTTGGTCATGGAGCTTGAACTCTGGGCCTGGGCACTGTCCCTCAGCTCTTAAGCTCAAGGCTAGTGCTCTACCACTTGATACACGGCGCTACATCCAGCTTTTTCTGCTTATGTGGTGCTGAGGAATTGAACCCAGGGCCTTATGAATGCAAGGCAAGTACTCTACCACTGAGCTACCTTCCCAGCCTCCCTTTTCACAATTTTTAAAAGGTGTATTTGTAACCTTTCACTTATCTTTCTTAGATTATTAGCTGTTTATAGTCAGAATATTTTTTTCTGACTTAAATATTGAACACTGTACAAATTAAGAATATTTTTATCTTTTAAAAAATATTACTGTGCTCATCAAAGTGACTGGCACTCAGTGTGTATCTGTTGGAAAGGAATTAAACATTATTCCTTTTTTATAAAGGGGCACTGTCCTTGACTTTGCAGACACTGTCCCTGACCTTTTTTGCTCAAGACTGGCACAGTTTTTGAGTTACAGTTCCACTTCTGGTTTTCTGATGGTTAAATAAAGATAAGTATCTCACAGACTGTCCTGCTTGGGCTGGCTTTCAACTATGATCCTTGGATTTCAGCCCCCTGAACAGCTAGGATTACAGGTATGAGCCACTTGTGCTTGGTGGAAGATGGTTTTTCATATCCAAGTGTGCTAATGGCTCTGTTCTCTTGTGGTGGCCTCTGAGCAGGCAATTCTACTGAAGACACACTTAAATCAGAACCTTCTATCTCTATCTCTATATCTTTCAAATGAATCTATGAGTTTCCAGAGTTTATAATCCCAGGCAGAAGCACGGGGGACCTGTGTGATTGTTCTATGAGGAACTGGACTGATGGAAATGGAGAGGGGAGAAAAGAGAGAAGATGAGGTTGAAGGGCACAGAAGTTATTGTAAGGCTTTTGCTTTGTTCTAAGTGCATGGAGAGATTGCCTCAAAGTCTTGTTTTTGCTCCTGATGCTCTCATGCTATTTATTTTATTTTATACTTTTTGGAACTGCTGAAGTTTGAACACAGGGCCTCTTATATACTAGGCAAGCTGCCTACCACTGAGCTATATTCCAAGACTTTTTTTGTGCTGGCTAGTTTTGAGCACAGAACTCACTTCCTGCCCAAACATGTACCAGGACTGCAAGCACCTGTTTTAGGCTTCTGTCTTAGCTGGGATGACAGGCATACACTACAATGTCCAGCTTCTTCCTTTGAGATGGATTCTTGTAGATTCTTCTGCCAAGTAAGGCCTGGAACTATGATACTGCCCATCTCAGCCTCCCACATAGCTTGGGATAATAAGCATTGTGCTCAGCTATCAATCGAGAAGGTCTCTCATGAATTTCCCTGCTAGAGCTGGCCTTAAGCCACGACCCTCCATTCACAGCCTCCAGAGAGCCAGGATTATAAACATGAGCCACCATGTCCAGTTTATTCATATTACCTTTAAAATTAAGATTGAGTTCTGGTTGAAAGCAATATCTGTGAACCTGGGAGAGAATTTCCTAGAGTACAGTGTCAGTTTGTTTTCTGTTGCTAGAATAATATGCCAGAGGCTAAGAACATTAAAAAAAAAGAGCTTTATTTGGAGCATGATTCTGGTGATTGGAAAGTCCAAATAACATGGTTCTGGCATCCTGGTCATAGCATGGCAAAGAAACAGAAAGGACATGCAAATAGGGCCAAGTAACTACACTAGAGACCAAGCTTCTAGTATCTGAACCTTTGGGAAACAAACTACATACACATGCTAGGAAGTGGGCAACAAAGAGAAATGCACACACACACACACACACACACACACACACACACACAGCTGAACCCCCTCCCACCTGTGCCTGTATGCAACATCTATGTGTGTCACAGTGGTTTCTGAGATCTCTCTCTCTGCACACACACACACACACACACACACACACCACACACCCCTAGGCCTGAACTCAGAGCCTACATGTTATCTTGCTTTTTTTTTTTTTGGCTCAAGGCTGGCACTCTATCACTTAAGCTACAGCTCCATTTCTGGTTTTTTAGTGATTATTGGAGATAAGATTATCATGGACTTTTCTGCTCAGGCTGGCTTTGAATCACAGTTCTCAGATCTTAGTCTCCTGAATAGCTAGGATTATAGGCATGAACTACTGGTGCCCTGCCCTAACATTAACTCTTTTTAAGATCTCTGAGTCTTGGGGATAGTCTTCTTTAGCACATGTAACACTGGTGTCTCTTCATAGGCTTTCTTTTAGGTGTTGTGCTTTCATTCTTCCCAAGCTAAATTCTGTTTTTACTGTGGTCAGTCACTGCCAAGTGGGCCATGGTTTGTGTTTCTCTTCTTAGTGATGTTGACAGGGTAGAGATGTTGACAGGGTAGGTGGAGAGAGCTGGTCAGCTAGGAGTCTGGTCCCACTGACTATCTGCCCAGATCACTGTGGGTCCTATGGAGCTACCCCTTGGGCCCACTTGCTCTCTGCTGTGTGTGTGTGTGTGTGTGTGTGTGTGTGTGTATGTGTGTGTCCTGCATGAAATATTTCAGAGAATGTAAACCCTTTATTGTTTGTAGCCTTGCCCATCTCCCCTGTACCATGAGTTTGACCAGAATATAATGTCTGGTCCTCAGGTCCTCAGTCAGTGTGGCACACAGGAATCCTAGCAGAGCTGCATCAGGGTGTGAGCTCATCATGAATGGCCCCTGTGATCTTCCTGGGATAACAAGAAGTCTATTTCAGTATCTTGTGATCATGGTTAAAGAGCAGACAAAGGGATGTCTGGGATAGCCTGTGAATCTATACGCCACTTGGGAGAAAATTACTGGCCTCTGGATAAGAACTGTGAAGAGCACTGGAGCTCTGTGGTGTAGTATGGAGCCTGTAGTTGATTATGTGTACCTGAAAACTGCTAAGACAATGGACCTGAAATATTCTCACTCCAGAAAAAAACAACAACCAGAAACATAGGTCCCATGGTTTCCCTTATTTGCAATATCTAGTATATGTCTGAGTCAAGCAGAAAAGGTCAGATAAGGTGATGTTAGGGAAATGAACCCTAAGATATGTATTCAAATGTTTTTTTTCTTTCATGTGATTGTTTCTAACACATTTATAAGATTATTTCTTTGTTGCTTTGTATGTCCCTCCCCTACAGTATAACCCCTGCTTTCACTGTATTTGATATCGGTATAATTTGTGGAGGGGAAGGGGAAAAGCAAATCATTTAAATAGGGATACAGGTGGACCCATTGCAACAATGAGATGTACAAGTCGTTATGTTGAAAACGAACTTTACAACTTTGGTGTGTGGGGGAAGCGGGGAGGATTGGGTGGGGGGCTTGGGGGGATGATGGGAAGGGATGGGAAGGGGAAACAAAGGAGGAGGCTACAATGCTTGATAAGAAATGTACTCATGGGCTGGGATGTAGCTCAGTGGCAAAGCGCTTGCCTAGCAAGTGCAATGTCCTGGGTTCGATCCCCAGTACCAAAAAAGAAAAGACAAAAAAAATACAGTTAAAAAAAATGTACTCATTATCTTGCCCATGTAATTGTAACCCCTCTGTACAGTATTTTCACAATTAAAAAAACAACAACCAGGTGAGATGGAAAATATAGTATTTGATCAGATCATTTCACAATGTTTACACAGTGCCAATAGAAAAATATTATGTTGTATAGCATGAATGATTTTTTTTATCTTATTTACTTTTTTTTTTGTCAGCTGTGGGGATTGAACACAGGGTCTGTGTGCTGTCCCTGAGCTCTTTTGCTCAAGGCTAGTGCTCTACCACTTTGAGTCACAGTGCCATTCCAGTTGCTGGTAGTTAATTGGAGATAAGAGTTTCACAGACTTTCTGGCCTGGCCTGGCTTTGGACTGTGATCCTCAGATCTCAGACTCCTGAGTAGCTAGGATTACAGGTCCCAACCACCAGCGCCTTTTGTGTGTGTGTGTGTGTGTGTGTGTGTGTGTGTGTGTGTGTGTGTGTGTGTGTGTGTGTTGGGGTCTCAGTCTGGCCTGAAACTCACGGTCTTGCTACCTTTGTTTCCTGCACGTTGGGGCGACAGAGATATGCCACCACACACAGATAATGTTTGCCAATTATACCTTTGGGAGATGTGTGTCTGTGTATGGGATCTGAGATCAGTGAGATGGATGATGAATGTGGGGCATTGAACACCATTTTTTGTTATTTTATCCTTTCTGCTTTCCTTCCTGCTAAAGTTTCTCCCTTTCTTCCTTGTGCCCTTCCCCTAGCTCAAGCCCTCAGAGACCCAGAGATATGCTTCACAGATCCAAGGTATCGTTTGGGAACCAGGCCTGAGAGTGAGTCAGGTGTGGCCCCCTCACGCCCCAGGGGTAGGGACCAGGCATGCAGCTGTTGAATGAGACAGTTGAACTCAGATCTGACCACAGCAGGGCAGTTGGCAAATGCCCCTCTGGGAGAGATGGCTATGCATCATAGGGATCACAGAGGGGCAGGGCTTGAGGGCAGGGATCAAACATGGTCCACACAGCCTCATTTGCATTGGAAAAGCTGCTGCCTGCACAAAGAGTAGGGTCCTTCTCTCCAGGAAGCCATCACAAGTGAGGCTTAAGAAACCTTTGATCTTAAGGGAAGATGAAATCTGGGACAGGTCATATTTTTCATGGCCCAGGCCCTGCTTCCTGGCAGTGTGGGACTGTTTTGGGTCTGTTGCTTCTAGCTCTGGCCCTGGGCACCCAGGGTCTGCTATTTCCAAGAGCAGCACCCCAGAATAGGGCCGTGGATGTTAGTGTCCGGGCAAGAAGCAGCTGGTCCAGACTTTGGAGCCTGTGGGGCAGGTAAAAGACTGGCTTGTGGGAAGATTTGGGTGGGTGGGTGGGTGGGACCCGGGCTAAAGGCAGGAACTAGTGACTGAAGGGAAAGGTAGTAATGATGGTGAGAGGTGAGAAGGAGCAATTTGAGAGGAAAAGTCTAGGAAACTGCTGGCTTACAGTGCTTCTATTTTTTTTTGTTCTTAGTATATATTTTTTATTGTAAAGATACTGTACAGAAGGGTTACAATTACATGAGCAAGGTAATGAGCCTATTTCCTATGGAGCCTTGTTACACCCTCCTTTATTTTTCCTCTACCATCTCTTTCCTCCTCACCTCCCCAACTCTTCCCCCGCCTCTGCAAAGTTGTAAAGTTCATTGTCAACATAGTATCTTGTACATCTCATTGTTACAATGGGTCATCCTGTATTCTTATTCCAGTATTTTGTTATTTCTCTTCCCCTCCCCAAATTAGAAAAATGAATATACAAGATGCAGGACACTGGAATCAAATACATTGACAACAGGGGTTGTAACATGGGGGAAGAACATACAAAGAAACAAAAAAAAATCACATAGTACATTATAAATACAATAACAAGAACAGCAACAAAATAAAACCTCTTGTGTCCCTATCTTGGGATTCATTTCAGTGCTTCTATTTTGATTATTATGGACGTTTGCATTACTATTATTGTTATTAATATAGTATTGGGATTGGGACTTAAACTCAGTGCCTCATGCTCTCTCTTTCTAAATCATGGCTGGTACTCTACCATTTGAGCGATATCTATCTTTTTGCTGGTTAATTGGAGTTGGAATTTTGTGGGCTTTTCTGCCCAGACTGGCTTCAGACTTAATGTTCTATATTTCAGCCTGCTGAGTAGCTAGGATTATAGATGTGAGCCACTATTTCCCATATGCATTACAACAACAACAACTACTACTACTACTATTTTTTTTGTCAGCCTCTACCACTTTGAGCTAAAGCTGCACTTCTGGTTTTCTGGTGGTTAATGGACTTTCCTTCCCAGGCTGGCTTCCATCCCCAGGTCTGAGCCTCCTGAGTAGCTAGGATTACAGGTGTGTGCCTATTGTATTGAAATATTGTACACCTTGGTTCACAAATCTTCTGGCTCCCCTTAAATTAACTAAAAATCTAGCTTAAAGTCAGTGATGCACAAACCTCCTGTTAGTCCCTGGGTAGTACAGAAATGGAGGCCCTGGAAGAGAGCTTTCAGGCAGTGGATAGTCGTTGCTGTCCAGACAAGCTGCTTTATGGATGGTGGGAGTGTAATTTCCTCTTCTCTGTATGCTGTGGAGAGTCCAAAGACAAAGCCCTGAAAATCTGCTTCAGGTGCACAGGTGCTAATCATTATAGGGGTAGACTCTTCCTCTTACTGGTCACACAAGGCAGACCCTACTGCCATCTGGTTTACAGACTGGAATAATAACGCTAAGGCCACCTAGCTCATGGATCCAGCCCTCAAGGCCCAAGTTTCATGTTCTCCAGTTCTCCCCATACCCCCCATCTCCAAAGTAGAGCGGACAAGTCCACTACCTTGAGGCATTCTGCTTAGAAAGGGCCTTTGCCTCCTGGCAACCACCTGGGGATTGTTGGGGTGACCATAGTAAGGCCCCAGATTCTACTGTAGGGGCAGCTCCACCATGGAGGCTGAGTTAGCACCTCTGCTTGTTGGGTTGCTGGGCTAGGAGTTTCTACCAGAATGACAGTGTCTAGGGAGGCCAATTCCCAAAGACACAAGACTTACACCAAATCAACACCTCAGGAAGAGAAGATGGGCTTAGCTGATGGTCACATTCAGTGTAAAATCTGTAAGAAATTTGCCCAGAAAGAGGTTCTGAAGGTCCAGAACTCTCAGGAAGGCTTGGTGGTCAAGGCTGTAGACAGTAGGCCCTGGGATCAAGATGGTGGTAAGAGATGCTGCACCCAAGAAGGTCAAATTTCACCTGTGTATTCTTGGGGAAAGAAATATGACTTAACTTGAATAGGTGGGGAGGGACAAGAATCTAGAGCTAGGGAGACTCTAGGGGTGTGTTGGGGTGACTCAGGCAGATATGGGGATAAGCTTGGGGAGGAGGGCAATAGGAGAGGGAGGAGCAAGGACCAGCCTTGACTTTTTTCTTTCTTTTTTCTTTTTTCTGGTGGTTCTGGGTTGGAAATCAGGGCCTGTGCTTGCGAGGTAGGTGCTCTACCACTAACCCATGCTTCCAGCCTTTCTGTACTGGTTATTTTTGAGATAAGTTCTCACTTCCTGTCCAGGCATGTACCTGGACTGAGATCTACCTATTTTAGGCTTTCTGTAGTAGCTAGAATGAAAGGTGCATGCTACCATAACCAGCAATGTGTTCAGAAGGGGTCTAAGCTGGGCACTAGTGCCTAATGCCTAGCTATCTGAGATGTTGAGATAGAGAAGATTGTACTTTAAAGCCACCTGGACACATCAAGTTTTGTGAGATCCCTTTTCAATGCAGAGCAGAGCTGCACACAGTGGCAGGTAGCTATTTTCCTACCTACAACCCGAGACCTAATATATATAGGCAGACTGTGGCCCAGACCTATGCTTAAGGCAAAAAGTCTAAAAAATAACTAGTGCAGGAAAGGGCTGGGAGAGGTATGTCTCCACAGTAGAGTGCCTGTCTTGCAAGCCTGAAGTCCTGAGTTCAGATCCTGACATCTAAAAAAAAAAAAAAAAAAAAGAAGGGAGAGGGAGTCTTGTGAGCTTTCCTGCTCAAGGCTAGCCTTGAATTGTGATTCTCTTTCTATCAGCCTCCCAGGTGTCTATGATTATAAATGTGAGCCACTGGTGCCCAGGTTGGCCCTGGCTTTTTTGATGAACATTTAAGAAAAGGCTGTAATTGTATCAGTGGGGTTTATATTTTAAGCAAAATTATTCTGAAAAGAAGGGTTAGGTTCCTCAAAGATGTACTTTACTGATTTGTTTATTAACATCTTACTGAGATTAGGCCTGGAGATGATGAGGGGGTGGGCCTGACTAGTTGTGGGAATAACCCTGTGGCTCATTGGAGAAACAATAGACAGAGAAGCCCAGTAGTGGTGGCTCACACCTGAGGATCATGGTTTGAAGCCGGCCTGGGCAGGAAAGTCTGTGAGACTCTTATCTCCAATTAACAACCAAAAAGCCAGAGTAGTGGTATGGATCAACTGGAAGAGAGCCAGACTTGAGTGAAAAAGCTAAGGGTTGGTGAATGCCCAGGCCCTGAGTTCAAGTCCTAGTACCAGAAAAAGAAAAAGAAAGTAAAAGAAAAAGACAAAAGCTAGAGAACGAAAGAGAGATGGGATGTTTTCTCTGGTGTTCTGGCTTTTGCCCTGAGGTTGTCCTGAAGTGGGATTTGTTTATTAATTTAAAAATATTTTGGTTGGGCTGATTATTTTTTATAGTTATTATTTTTATGTTCATTTCTCTACATTTTTGACTATACTGGCGACTTTCAGAATTGGATTTTATGTTTTGGAGAAATTAGTGCCACCAATCTTTGAGGTCAGATTTGAAGGCCAGGTGGAAAAGGTAGGAACATCCAGAAATGTAAATCAATAGGAGGAAAACAAACTCTAGTACGTCCCTGGTGTGTCACTGCAGTGAAATAAAGATTAAAAAATAAATTCTAATATATCTTAATAAGCATTTTTCTATTGCTGTTTTACTCCGTCTGAGCTCTACTTTTTGCTATTGTAAAGAAAAGTAGCATATACTATTTTTTTTAGAAAACTGTATCACTGCAGTAAAATTATTAAATATAGATGATTTTCTATAGTCAGCTACCCTAGTCTTGGCATTTGCCTTTATGGTTTTTTACAACTTTCTACTGTGTGTGTGTGTGTGTGTGTGTGTGCGCGCTGGTACTGGGGCTTGAACCCACAGTCTAGGCACTATCCGTTAGCTTCTCTCAAAAGTGGCACTCGACCACTTGAGCCACATCTCCATTTCTGCTTTTTGCTGGTAAATTGGAGATAAGAGTCTCACAGACTTTACTGCTCAGGCTAGCTTTGATCCTTAGAACTCACCCTCTTGATTACCTAGGAGCCACTGGTGCCCAGCTGACTCTACTTTTGCTTTATCTGGAATACCATGTCAGTGGAATCATTACAATAAGATTTTTGTTCTTGTACTTTAATGAACTAAACCTTTTTATTTTGGCATATTTATAGATTCACCTTAAATTATAATAAATAATACAGAGGCATCCCATGTACTCTTTAGTTTCTTAAAGTTACAGTAAAATATCACTACTAGAACATGGGCATGGCTACAGGAAAGGGACAGAACCTTTTTTTTTTTTGGTCGGTAGTGGGGCCTGAACTCTGGGCCTGGGTGCTGTCCCTCAGCTCGTCAGCTCAAGGCTAGTGCTCTACCACTTGAGCCACAGCACCTACTTCCGGCTTTTTCTGCTTATGTGGTGCTGAGGAATTGAACCCAGGGCCTTATGCATGCAAGGCGAGCACTCTACCACTGAGCCACCTTCCCAGTCCGGGACAGAACCTTTCTGTCAGCACAATCATCATCCATGTTGATCTTTGAAAGTGACACTCACTTCCATCTCTCTCCCAAACCATCCTTACTCCATGGCAACTAGTAGTTAGGCCTTCATTTCCATACTTACATCATTTCAAGGATATGCTACAATATTTTTTGGGGTGTATGGTGTGTTTGTAGAGTTCAGGATTGAACCTGGGGCCTTACACCTGCTCAGCCTGTGCTCACCACTGACCAGCATCCATATTCTATGCAATGCGTGATCTCTGGGGATTAGCTTTTAAAATTTTATTTTATTTTAATTTTTTTTGGGTCCAGTTGTGGGGCCTGAACTCTGGGCCTGGGCGCTGTCCCTCAGCTCTTCAGCTCAAAGTTGCGCTCTACCACTATGAGCCACAGCGCCACTTCCGGCTTTTTTCTTATGTGGTGCTGAGGAATCGAACCCAGGGCCTCATGCAGCAAGGCAAACGCTCTACCACTGAGCCATCAAATTTTATTATTTTTATTTTTGTCAGCTGTGGGGCTTGAACACAGGGCCTGGGCTCTGTCCCTGAGCACTTTTGCTCAAGATTAGTGCTCTACCACTTTGAGCCACAGCTCCACAGCTGGTTTTAATGTGATTAACTGGAGATAAGAGTCTCATGGGAACTTTTCTGCTCAGGCTGGTTTTGAACTGATCCTCAGATCTCAGCCCCCTGAGTAGTTAGGATTACAGGTGTGAGCCACTGGCACCTGGCTTAGGATTTCATTTATGAGTTTCGTCATTCATTTGGCCATTCCTCAGCTGAGGAATACTTGAGTTGTTTCTAGTTTGGGGTAAAGATGAATAAAGCTTTTATAAACATTTTCATACAAACTTTTGTTTGAACTTCAGTTTTCATTCCCATTGGATAAGGACTTAGGGGTAGAATTTACTTTATATATATATTTTTCTCATTAAAAATTATCTTTAGCCACGCGTGTCCATGGCTCACTCCTGTAATCCTAGCTACTCAGGAGGCTGAGATCTGAGGATCATGGTTCAAAGCAAGCCCGGGCAAGAATGTCCATGAGACTCTTATCTACAATAAAGTACCAGCAAACCAGAAGTGGCACTGTGGCTCAAGTGGTAGAGTGCTAGACCTGGGTGCCCAGGTCCAGAGTTCAAGCCCCATGACAGCCCCCCACCAAAAAAAAAATCTTTAAATAGCTGCACAAAGGGTTTTCAACCCAACAAATCAGTTTATAAATCCAATGCATCTTGGATTATTTAGATGTAGACTGCAATGACAGAGATGTGGTTCCAGTGTGGGAGGGGCAATGACTAAAGTCTACAATGACTCCATGTTTCCAGCTTGAAAGTGAACAAGAACACTCATGGCCATTGTTGTGATGAAGACAGAGCTGAGTTGGAGGCAAGGCATCTGGATATGATAAATTTAAATTTCCTATTGGGCATCTGGCTGTTGATGGTCAAGAGGCAAATTTCGGTGGAGCTGAGGAGGTGCTTTTCAGTGGTGATAGATTGGTACCTTATTATACAGTCAAGTTATGGGAATGAATGTTGCGGGAAGATGATAAGGAAGGAGGATCTAGAGATGGTCTGGGGACCATCAGCCAGGCATGGGCCAAGGAGTAAAAGAGGAGTGTGAGTGCTCTGAGATACCTTGGAGAAGAGAACCACTGGGAAAAAGGGTGAACTTAACATTACATCAAGTACAGAAACAGCAAGTGCGACAAGAACTGAGGAAGGAGCTTGGACTGACCATGGTGAGGGGTTTGTGCACCTTGATCTGAGAGGAGTTAGAGGGATATAAAGATAAGAACCAAAGGGACTCCGAACTGTCCTAACCATGAGAAAGAATGCCTTGTGAAAACAAGATGGACAGGTGAATGAATGGGCAGATGAATGGCAAATGGACAGAGGATGGGCAAATGGATACAGATGGGTAGACAGATGAATGAATGATGGGTAGGTGGATGGGTGAATAAGCTGGATGAAGAAATGGTACTTATAAGGATGGAGGGACAAACAGATGGAGAGACAGATGAATGGTGGATAGATGGAGTTATGCATAGTGGTCTGAAAGATCAGAGAAGGTCTCATGAGTATCATGGGACTGAGCTGCACCTCCTTGAACAGAAACAAATATAGAGGAGTCTCCATCTAGGAGCACCTTAAGTCTGAAATACCCCAGTGTTCCTGGGACCATGGAGGAAACCAGTCTGTCTAGACCATGGGAAACTTTGAGAAGGACATTCAGAAGCCCTAAAATGAGCCAGCTCAGGACTCCCTGCCACCTCACAGCCACCTGAGAAGACACTCAGAGATTTTCTGAGCATCAGATGGCACAAGTGGGGAGGGAGAGGCATGGTGGGGTGCTTGCCTGCTACCAAGGGACAGATTTCTGAGAGGCTCTCTGCCCACTTACCATTCACTCAGGACACAGTATACCCACCACAGCTTTGTGCCTGTGTTCAACAGGTTCCCACTCCATCCTATCCCCCCAGAGGCAGGCACCAGGTGCTGGACCGGTGGATTTTGGTCTGCGCCTCAGTCACCACAGCCTGTTTTTGGCAGTGGAACCCAGCTTACTGTCCTAGGTAAGTGTCTCTCATGACCTTTTCCAGCCTGTCCCTCCCAATTGTTATCTGTTTTTCTCTCTTTTATTTTTGTTAGTCATGGGGCTTGAACTTGGGGTCTGGGAACTCTCCCTGAGCTGTTTTTGCTCAAGGCTAGCTACTGTTCTACCACCTTGAGCCATAGTACTACTTCTGGTTTTCTGGTAGTCAATTGCAGATAAGAGTCTCATGGACTTTCCTGCATGATCCTTGGATCTCAGGCTCCTGAGTAGCTAGGATTCGTGCCCAGCCAATTTTTCTCTTTTTTTTGGGGGGGCGAGGGAGCTTATTCTCCTTTGTTAGCCTTTAGGACTGGCCCTTTTCTTTCTTTTAGTCTGAAGGAGGTGGGTGGTCTTCTGTAATTACAGGAAGGTCCTTATCAGCATGAAGATCTACCTGCAGATTCCTGTGCCTATACCTGGCCTTGTCCCAGAGCCCAAGCTGAAGGTTGGCCAAGGATCAAAGCTTCTTCCCTTATGAGATAGAATGGGGACCAGGAGCTAGTCTGAAGAGTAGGACTGAGCCTTAGAGATGGTCCATAAGCCACAGAATCTGGACTTAGGGATCAGAAGTCCATCTAGGCTAGGAAGGCCACAAATGAGGCACAGAAGACACTGCTGAAGCTGTGACTTCCACCTCAGGAGATTAAAAAATTCATCCCAAGTAGAGATCAACAGAGGCAGAGGGAAGGATCTGGCTCATTCTAGGCTACAACTTTCAGATAATCTCTTGGGCCCTGAGGACACAGGAATACAGATAACTCAAACTGGGCAAAGTGATCAGAGTCTGGCCTTCCGAGGATGGTCACTCTTTTGTCCCTGAATCATTGGGCTCTGTGGCACTTGTCTGTTCATGAGCTTCCCACTTCCTCCTAGGGCACATTAGATTTAGGAATGGAGGAATGAGGCTGCAAATGGAGGTGGTATTCAGAGGCTTCCACGTAAAATCAGAAATCAGAAATCAGCAACAGCCAGGCCCTGGTGGCTCATGCCTGCAATCCTAGCTACTTATGAGGCTGAGACCTGAGAACTGAGGTTCAAAGTTAGCCTGGGCAGGAAAGTCTGTGAGACTCTTATCTCCAATTAACCACTAGCACTATGGCTCAAAGTGGTAGAGCATTCGTGTTGAACAGAAGAGCTCAGAGATAGTGACCAGGCCTTGAGTTGAAGCCCCTCAGCCTCAAACAAACAAACAAACAAACAAACCAGCAATAATCAGGATCTACTGAGGTAAGCAGAGGGCTGCCTTTCCCTGCAGCCCCAAGAACATAGCCAAGGCAGAATCTTATGATCAGGCCAATGGAACTAGGGGAACAGAAGAACATTGAAGGGGTCCTTCCTTGTCTGGGGAGAACACATGACTCACCAGGAGAGCTAAGAAGATGGGTAGAATTTCCTGTACCCTGGGCACAGATTCAAGGTATTCCCACACCCACCAGGATCTTCCTACCAGGCCGAGAAGAAAACCTTAATTGGCAGAGAATACTCTGAAACTTAGACTTATATTTATGCTTAGAAGGTTAGGGCCAGATTCTAAACTCAGACTTCAGAGATCAGGGAGGAAGAAGCATTAGTAGCCCTAGTGATATTGGGGAAACTGAGGCTGCAAGGGGTGAGACTAGACTAGGTTTCTGGGGTGAGCTTAGGGAGAGATTCTAGGATGGTCTAAAATTGTCTCGCATGGTGGGAAAAGAGGGTCTTTAGATGGACAAGGTGGCTACAATGAATGTTCACAATGAGTTTAGATGGAGGCTGGTCTTCCACCTCCTGGCTCTCTTTCTCCCTTTCGCTTTTTTTTGTTAGTCATGGGACTTGAGCTCAGGGCCTGGGTGATGTCCCAGATCTCTTTTGCTCAAAGGCTAGCACTCTATTCCGGTGGCTAGCACCACTTCCGGTTTTTTGGTGGTTCATTGGAGATAAGAGCCACATGGGCTTTCTTGCCCAGGCCAGCTTTGAACCATGATCCTCATATCTCAGTCTCCTGAGGAGCTAGGATTTCAGGTGTGAGCCACTGGCACCAGGATCCTGGCTCTCTTATGACAACTCTTGGCCTCTCCTCTTTCCATACAGGTCAGCCCAAGGCTTCCCCCTTGGTCACACTGTTCCCACCATCCCCTAAGGAGTTACAGGCCAACAAGGCTACCCTGGCCTGTCTGATGAATGACTTCTACCCACGCACTGTGATGGTGGCTTGGAAGGAAGATGATATCATCATCACTGAGGGTGTAGAGACCACCCAACCCTCCAAACAAAGCAACAACAAGTACATGGCCAGTAGCTACCTGATGCTGACACCCGACAAGTGGAAATCTGGAAGCAGGTATACTTGCCATGTCACACATGAAGGGAGAACTATAGAGAAGAGTGTGTCCCATGTAGAATGTTCCTAAGTTGAAGAATCTCATGCCCTTGAAGGGCTGAAGCTGAAGGATTCAGCATGGTCCTCTTTGTCTTCTAGTCTTACTTGTACCCAATAAATAATTTTTTAAAAGAAAGATCCTACTCTACCTCATTGTTTTTGTTGTTGGTTGTGGGGCTTGAACTCAGGGCCTGGGCACTGTCCCTGAACCCTTTTGCTCAAGGCTAGTGCTCTACCACTTTGAGCCACAGTGCCACTTCTGGTTTTCTAGTGGTTAATTGGAGATAAGAATCTCAAACTTTCCTGTCTGGGCTGGCTTTGAATTGTGTTCCTCAGATCTCAACCTCCTTAGGAGCTGGGATTATATGTGTGAGACACCAGCACCTGGCTCTCATTTGTTTATTAACTTCAAGTTTCATTTACAATTCCTAGTGGTTTCAGGGTGGGGTGGGATAATTCTGGTGGGTGTAAGCCTGGTGGAAAAGTAGCCCAGGAGAGAAGCTCACAGCCTGGGTGTAGGCTGGGAAATAGTCTAGTAACCTGGACATCAGCCTCCTTTCTCTCCTTCCTCTTCTTCCAGCACAGGGTTTCTTACTTCCTGCCTCCTTTCTCGATGAGCTGTTGAGAACTGTGGCTTTCTGAGACACTTCTTCTGCCCACTTTGGTCTGAGGGGACAAGGCATAGAGATAGTAAGAAATGGCCCACTCTCTACAGGATTAGAACCATAAATCCACTATTACCATAAACCCAATTCTTGAGTTCAATCTTAATACAGTTTCCAGATACCAAAGTTCTGTGCTTCTCATGATTTGGATTTATTTGTCCACTCAGATGTCCATCTGTTCAGCCTCCTAAGAACCCACCACCATGTATCCACCAATCCACCCACTTATCGCCCCACCATCTCCCTATCTATTGCTCGTCTACCATCTATTGCTCAGCTACCAACTTACCTATCATCATCACCTATAGTTCCCTAAGTCACCCATCTTTCCCCCCATCAATTTACCTACCCAACTACCCAAACTATCTAACCACCTAACTACCACACTACCTAATCCATCCATCCATCATCTGCCATCAATCTTTTTTTTTTTTTGGGTCCGGTCGTGGGGCCTGAACTCTGGGCCTGGGTGCTGTCCCTCAGCTCTTCAGCTCAAGGCTAGCGCTCTACCACTTGAGCCACAGCGCCACTTCTGGCTTTTTCTGCTTATGTGGTGCTGAGGAATCGAACCCAGGGCCTCAGGCATGCAAGGCAAGCACTCTACCACTGAGCCACCTTCCCAGCCCCTGCCATCAATCTTTTTAATCATTTATATATCCATTAGAACCTTCCTCTTCTCCCTCTTTCTCTCCCTTTTCCCTCCCTCCTTCATTCTCCTCTCTCTCCTCTCTACCTTTCTCTTTCCCTCCCTCCCTCAGTGGCTTATTGGGAGGATTGTACATAGCAGGTACTGGACAAGGGAAAAATGAGATGAAGAATTGGAAGACTTGGGAAGGGGATGTACTTTTTGGGTTTAATAGATTTCCATTGGACTACATGAATACTCAAAGGAGTGAATAAAATACTGCCATGTCAGGCACTCCAGGGTTCTAGGATCCAGGATGGGACTCAGGGTGTGAGAGGCAGCTTGGGGCAGAATCAGACCTGGGGCTGAGAGGGAACCAGGGTATAAGGGGAGGGCTTTATGCCACCAACTGTAAGCTTCACAGACATCAGCTACAGTTCTGCAGTCACCTGTCTCAGTGATGTTTGTGGGTTCTACACTTTGATGTCTTTTTCTGTACTTTTTTGGGAAGGGGTGGGAGTGGGAAGGAAGGCAGTACCAGGCTTTGAATACAGGTTCTTTTTTTTGGGTCCGGTCGTGGGGCCTGAACTCTGGGCCTGGGTGCTGTCCCTCAGCTCTTCAGCTCAAGGCTAGCGCTCCACCACTTGAGCCACAGCACCACCACTTCTGGCTTTTTTCCTTTTGCTTATGTGGTGCTGAGGAATCGAACCCAGGGCCTCAGGCATGCAAGGCAAGCGCTCTACCACTGAGCCACCTTCCCAGCCCGAATACAGGTTCTTGTACTTGCCTGTTTTTCTTGTTCAGCTGGCACATGCCCCTGGCCCAACTTTTTGCTGATTGTTTTGGAGATGGAATCTCATGGATTTTTTTCTGCCTGGGATGACTTTGAACCTCAGGTCTCCAGACCTCAGCCACTGACTAGCTATGATTATAGGTGTGAGCCATTGCTGCCGGCTGCAGGCTTGGTTTCTTTTCCCCTAATGTTTCTTCTCCCTGTCATCCTCAGTTCTGGTTTAGGTCAGAGTTCAGATAAAAACTTTAACCTGGAGAGTTCTTGGGTTGGGTGGCTAGCTGTAGTCAGAGCCACCAGAATTGGGAGATGTGACTTGTTCCAGCCCCTCTCTCCTTCTCCTGGCTTGATCCACTACTCTCCTCCTACCTCAGTACTCCTTGCCTTTCTGGGTTTCACTGGCTAATCCTTTCATCCAGAAATTCTGTGTTTTCCAAGATGGCTGGCTCACTCTTGGAGGGTGGAGATTACTTGCTCTAAATCACACATCATGTTAGAGGTATGCCTGGGAAAGTGCATAGGAGACATGACAGCAGTGACTAGTGTTGGTGAGAGCCAGCCCCCATTGGGCAAGCACACTGTGGGCATTGTCATAAGTAATCCCTAAACTCACCAAGGAGGGAAACTGAGGCACACAAGGATATGAAGTGAATTGTCCATGAAATAAAGATACTGGATCTAAGTAACATGCCTTGTCCTTACAGCCATCCTAGCGCCTTGCTGGGTGGTGGGGCCTTTTCACCCAGCTCTGAAAGGCCTAGAGGTGAGATAGGCCATTCATTAAATTGCAGATGTTTAGCCCCAGGAGAGCTTTGATATGGAGAATTTTTGTCTCTGAGTATTTCTTTAGATGGCTTGCTTTGCTTTCCTGAGTATTTTCCTATATGGTCTGCTTTTATTAGATTTGGTCTCCCACCCCAAACGTGGATTTTGCTTTAAAAACTTTGTGCAAGTGGTATTATGGGCTGCAGGTCTTTGAGACAGAAGTCCACCTGCAGTTGCTGGTTTTGTAATAAGGACTCCCAAATTGATATCTCAAGCTGTGGCTTCTCTGTGTCTTGCGAATGAATTCCTGTATAACACCCAGAGTTAAGGGCAGATGAAGACTGAGCTAAGTGTGGTTCATACCTATCTGTCCACCACAGAATCTCTTCTGGGAAACCATGAGACTTACGTTTCTTTGGGTCTGGCTTACTTCACTTAGTATAATTTTTTCCAATTCCTTCCATTTCCTAACAAATGGTGTGGTGTCATTCTTTCTGATGGAGGCATAGAATTCCATTGTATATATATAGACACCACATTTTCTTGATCCATTCATCTACTGAGGGGCATCTGGGTTGGTTCCATATTTTAGCTATGGAAAATAATGCAGCAATAAACATAGTTGTGCTGGTAGCTTTAGTATGGCCTTGTTTGTGATTGTTTGGGTAAGTGTCCAAAAGTGGGATTGCTGGATCGTAGGGGAGCTCTCTATGTGGAGTCTTTTGAGGAACTGCCATACTGTTTTCCAAAGAGGTTGAACAAGTTTACACTCCCACCAACAATGCAGTAGGGTTCCCTTTTGGCCACATCCCCTCCAGCATCTGTTGTTACTAGATTTCTTGATTATAGCCATTCTAACTGAGGTAAGGTGGTATCTCAATGTTGTTTTGATTTGCATTTCTTTTATGGCTAGAGAAGTTGAGCATTTCTTCATGTGTCTATTGGCCATTCTTACTTCCTCTTCAGAGAAGCTCTCTTTAAGATAGTAGCCCACTCATTAATGGGCGGTTGTTTCTTTGAAGATTTGTTTATGGAGGATTTAAACTTTTTTTTTGGTCGGCCGTGGGGCTTGAACTCTGGGCCTGGGCGCTGTCCCTCAGCTCTTCAGCTCAAGGCGAGCGCTCTACCACTTGAGCTACAGCGGCACTTCCGGTTTTTCTGGTGGTTATTGGAGATAGGAGTCTCACGGTCTCTCCTACCCGGGCTGGCTTTGAACCGCGATCCTCAGATCTCAGCCTCCTGAGTAGCTAGGATTACAGGCGTGAGCCACCAGCGCCCCGCGGATTTAAACTTTTGAGTTCTAAGTATATTTTACATATGAGGCCCTTGTCTGTTGTATGGCTACTGAAGATCGTCTCCCAATCTGTGGGTTTTCTATTGATCTTGCTAGCTATGTCCTTTGTTATGCAGAAGCTCTGCAGTTTAATGCAATCCCATTTATTCAACCTTTCTTTGATTTGTTGTGTTTCTGGGTCTTTCTTAAGAAAATTACAGCCTGTGCCAAAGAGCCCTAGAATTTCTCCTGTTCCTTCCTGCAATGTTTTCAGGCTGTCTGTTTTTACTTGGAAGTCTTTGATCCATTTGATCCATTTGAAATTGATTCTGGTACAGGGTGATATATGAAGATCTAGCTTTAGTTTTCAACAGGAGTTTAACCAATTTTGCCAGCACCATTTACTGAAAAGGCTGTCTTTCTTCCATCCTACTTTTTGGCCCCCTTACCAAAGATTAGGTGGCTATAGGTCTGTGGGTTCATTTCTGGGTCTTCAGTTCTATTCCATTGGCCCTCAGGTCTGTTCTTGTGCCAGTACCAAACTGTTTTGATTACTATGGCTTTGAAGTAGAGTTTGAAATTTGGTATTGATATTCCTCCAGCACTGTTCTTTCTGCTAAGGATCATTTTTGCTATTCAGGATCTTTTATTGTTCCATATGAATTTTTGGATTGTTTCTTCTATTTCATTGAAGAATGAGGTTGGGATATTGATGGTTATCACATTGAATAGGACTCCTTACTTCACTCCTGATGTGGGGTCAGGTTTTGGAAAAATGAATAATGCATGTCAATCTAGACCTGCCCAAAGGTTATGCTCATGATGCTGTTGAAATATATATACTGGGTCTAACTGAGGTCATCTTAGCATCTTGTTGGATGACAGGGACTTTCTGAGAACTCCAGAGATGATGTAGGACATTCTTTGAGTTATTAAGCTCCAAGGAAGTCTTACTCCAGAGAACTCTTGCCAATGGTTGTCCTTGATTACTC